TTGGGCAACTTATTGTTAATAAACTTTTACAAGGTGATGCATTAAAAAAACTGGATCAATATGAAACAGCTGCTGTGTTGTGACTATGGCACTAATTCCTCTGGCACAAGATCTTTTGAGTTCCAAATACCATGAACCAGTTCTTCAGTGCCCTTTCTTTCTACCACTGTGGAATCTTTGTTTGCACAGTGCACCATGATGTCATTGGGCCTTTGTTAAGCGCCAATATAAGTGTAAACACAAACACCAATGCAAACTCTAAAAACATGTTCTGTAGTAAGGTAGCCATTCAGATGTTCTAGACCCAGCAGCGCTGTCCCGATAGAACTTTCTGTGCTGATGGAAATGTTCTATTTCTGTGCTGGCCCATACGGTAGCCACTAGGCACACAGAGCTATTGAGTGCTTGAAATGAGGCAAAGGTGACTGTGGGAGACTGAATTTGTAGTGTTATTTAATTTTAATGAGTTTAAATTTAAATGAAGGGATGGAAAAAGATATTCCATGCACATAGAAACCAAAAGAAAGCTGGAATAGCTATACTTGTATGAGACAAAGTCGACTTTAAAACAAAGACTGTAATAAGAGACAAAGATGAACGTTACATAATGATAAAGGGGTTAATCCAACAAAAGGATATAACATTTCTAAATATTTATGCAACCAACATAGGAACACCTGAATATATAAAGCAAATATTAGCAGACCTAGAGGGAGAGGCAGGAATACAATAATAATAGGGGACTTGAATACTGCACTTATGTCAATGGATAGATCATCCAGACAGAAAATCAATAAGGAAACATTGGCCTTAAACAATGTATTAGACCAGATGGACTTAACAGATATTTATAAAATATTCCATCCAGAACAACAGAATACACATTCCTCTCAAGTGCACATGGGACATTCTCTAGGAAGGATGATATGTTAGGCCGAAAAAGAAGTCTTAATAAATTTGAGAGGATTGAAGTCATATCAAGCATCTTGTCTGACCACTATGATATAAAACTTGAAATTAATTATGTGAAGAAAACTGGAAAATTAACAAATATGTGGAGATTAAACAACGTGCTACTGAACAACCAATGGGTCAAAGAAGAAATCAAAAATACTTTGAGACAAAGAAAATGGAAATATACATACCAAAATTTGTCGGATGTAGCAAAAGCAGTTCTAAGAGGGAACTTCATAGCAACAAATGCCTACCTTAAGAAACAAGAGGGGCCAGCCTGGTGGCACAAGTGGTTAAGTGTGCGCGCTCCGCTGTGGTGGCCCAGGGTTCGCTGCTTCAGATCCGGGGCACGCACCGACACACCACTTGGCAGGCCATGCTGTGGCGGCGTCCATATAAAGTAGAGGAAGATGGGCATGGATGTTAGCCCAGGGCCAGTCTTCCTCAGCAAAAAAAGAGGAGGATTGGCAGATGTTAGCACAGGCCTGATCTTCCTCACAAAAAAAGAAAAAAAAACAGAAAACAAGAAAAGTCTCAAACAACCTAACTTTACACCTCAAGGAACTAGAAAATGAAGAACAAATGAAGTCCAAAAAGTACCAGAAGGAAGGAAATAACAAAGATTAAAGCAGAAATAAATGAAATAGATACTAAAAAGACAATAGAGAAGATCAGTGAAACTAAGAGCTGGTTCTTTGAAAAAATAAAATTGACAAGCCTTTAGCTAGACTCACCAAGAAAAAAGAGAGAGGACTTAAATAAAATCAGAAATTAAAGAGCAGATGTTATAACTCATACCACAGAAATACGAAGGATCATAAAGAGACTACGATGAACAATTGTACACCAACAAATTGGACAACCTAGAAGAAATGGATAAATTCCTAGAAACATGAGATTGTGATGATTCATCATGAATCATGATGAAATAGAAAATCTGAACATAGCAATTGCTAGTAAGGAGATTGAGTCAGTAATCAAAAACTTCCCAACAAACAAAAGTCCGGGACAAGACAGCTTCACTGGTGGATTCTACCAAACTTTCAAAGAAGAATTAATATCAATCCTTCTCAAACCCTTCCAAAAAATAAAAGAGGAGGGAACTCTTCCAAACGCATTTTATGAGGCTAGCATTACCCTGATATCAAAACCAGCCAAGGACGCCACAAGAAAAGAAAATTACAGGCCAATATCCCTGATGAACATAGATGCAAAAATCTTCGACAAAAGATTAGCAAACCAAATTCAACAATACATTAAAAGGGTCATACACCATGATCAAGTGGGATTTATTCCAGGGATGCAGGGATGGTTCAACATGTGCAAATCAGTCAGTCAGTGTGATACACCACATTAAGAAAATGAAGAATAAAAATCATATGATCATCTCAGTAGATGCAGAAAAAACATTTGACAGAATTCAATATCCATTTATGATAAAAACTCTCAAGAAAGTGTGTATAGAGAAGATGTACCTCAACGTAATAAAGGCCGTATGTGACAAGCCCGCATCTAACATCATACTCAAGGTGAAAAGCTGAAAGCCTTTCCTCTAAGATCAGGAACAAGACAAGGATGTCCACTGTTACCGCTTTTGTTCAATATAGTGTTGGAAGTCCTAGCTAGAGCAATTAGGCAAGAAAAAGAAATAAAAGGCATCCAAATTGGAAAGGAAGAAGTATTACTGTCACTATTTGCAGATGACATGATATTATATATTGAAAACCCTAAAGAGTCCATCAAAAAAGTGTTCGAACTAATAAATTCCGTAAAGTTGCAGGATACAAAATCAATACACAAAAATCTATTATATTTCTATACACTAATAAACTATCAGAAAGAGAAATTAAGAAAACAATTCCATTTACAATTACATCAAAGAATAAAATACTTAGGAATAAATTTAACCAAGGAGGTGAAAGACCTGTATATTGACATCTACAAGACATTAATGAAAGAAATTGAAGAAGGTACAAATAAGTGGAAAGATATTCTGTGCTCATGAATTGAAAGAATCAATATTGTTAAAAATATCCATACTACCCAAAGCAGTCTACAGAGTCAGTGCAATCGCTATCAAAATTCCAATGGCATTTGTCAAAGAAATAGAACAAATAATCCTAAAATTTGTATGGAGCCACAAAAAAACCCAAATAGCCAAAGCAATCTTGAGAAAGAAGAACAAAACTTGAGGCATCACACTCCCTGAATTCAAACTATATTATGAATCTATAGTAATTAAACAGTATGATATTGACATAAGAACAGACAGAAATCAATGGAACAGAATTGAGAACCTAGAGAGAAACTGCTGCATATATGGTCAATTAATTTGCAACAAAGGAGCCATGAATATACAATCGAGAAAGGACAGTCTCTTCAATAAATGGTGTTGGGAAAACTGGACAGCCATAGGCAAAAGAATAAAACTGGACCACTATCTTACACCATACACAAAAATTAACTCAAAATGGATTAAAGACTTCAATGTAAGACCTGAAACCATAAAAGTCCTAGAATAAAACATAGGTGGTAAGCTCCTTGACATGGGTCTTGGTGATGATTTTTTGAACGTTACACCAAAAGCAAAAGCAACAAAAGCAAAAATAAATGTGGGATTATACTAAAAAGCTTCTGGACAGCAAAGGAACACAAAAAGGCAGCCTACTGAATAGGAGAAAATATTTGCGAGTCATATATCTGATAAGGTGCTAATATCCAAAATATATAAAGAACTCATACAACTCAATAGCAAAAAAAACAATCCAGTTAAAAAATGAGCAGAAAATCTGAATAGACATTTTTCCAAAGAAGACATACGGATGGCCAATAGGTACATGAAAAGATGCTCAACGTCATTAATCACCAGGAAATGCAAATCAAAACCACAATGAGATATCACCTCACACCTGTTAGAATGGCTATTATCAAAAAGACAAGAAATAACAGGAGTTGGCGAGGATGTAGAGAAAAGAGAGCCCTTGTGCGCTGTTGGTGGGAATGTAAATTGGTGCAGCCACTATGGAAGGCACTATGGAGGTTCCTCAAAAAATTAAAAATAGAACCACCATATGATTCAGCCATTCCACTTCTGGATATTTATCTGAAAAAAACAAAAACACTCAAAAAAATATGTCCATCCCCATGTTTATTGCAGCATTATTTATAATAGCCAAGATATGGAAACAGCCTAAGTGCCCATTGATAGATGAATGTATAAAGAAATTATTGTGTATATATACAATGGAATATTATTTGGCCATAAAAAACAATGAAATCTTGCCATTTATGACAACATAAATGGACCTCAAGGGTGTTATGTTAAGTAAAATAAGTCAGGCGGAGAAAGACAAAGACCATATGATCTCTCATACGTGGAATCTGAAAACAAAAAAACAAGCTTATAGATACAGAGAACAGATTGGTAGTTGCCAGAGGCGGGGGTAGGAGGAATAAATGGGTGAACTGTTTTTTTTAATTTAAGTAAATTGTTTAAATAAATAACTGGCCACACATGGCTACGGTATTGGACAACACAGACCCAGAGCAGTTTCTATCAAAGTCGAATGTGCGTGAGAACCACCTGGAGAGCTTGTTAAAGTGCAGATTCTGATCAGTAGGTCTGGGCTGGGCCTGTGTGATTCTGCATTTCTAATCAGCTCCAAGGGATGCTGATGTCCCCAAAGTATGGTCTAGGGACCACACTTTGAGAAGCAAATATCTTTAATATGCTTGTATCCACTTATTTTAGATTATCATTTAAAAGGAAAGACCAAATTTGAAAATTCTCATAGAGCTCTAGCATTTTCGGGAGTTCTCGCCCCAGGTTGAGACTCCTGTCCCAGTGTCGCTGCTGCGGCATGTTGTCTTAGCAGGCAGGCTGCCAGAGAGGTTTAGTGACCGTCTCTAGGGCTTCCCCAGGATGTGTGGGACACCGAAGTTTTCATCACGCTTATCATGTAAGGTTAAAAGGAATCTCTGGGAAAGACACTTATTTCAACTTTCCTACTTTTTCTAAAAGAAAACATCATCTTTCTTTCTTACAGGGTTTGTGTGTGAAGCTGTGTGGAAATCTGAAATACCATCAACCACACCTTTATAGTACCCTGGTGCCACCTGATGGTAAGCTGTCTTAGCACTTCTTTGACTCTATGCTAATTTTTTTCCGTTCTTCCAAATAAAGTGAGAAGCATGAGTTTTGAGCAAAACAGGCTTTTCTTGCATTCCCCCGACCCCATCCCACCTTATACCTGGCTGAGTTCAGTTTCTCCCTTTTTTGCTCCCGTAATGTCGCTGATGTCATTTGGCAAACCCCCACCCCAGCCATCAGAGCGGTGATGGATGAATTAGGAGATTCTGCTTTCTTTCCCTAGGAAGACTCTAAGTGGATAATTATAATAAAGAGTGGCACGCCCTAAAGACAATGCTATAGAATCTGTGAGCTGTAGTGTGTTGAAGGCACTCTAGGAGCGATGCAAATGGTTATAGGAATTCAGAGGCTTATGAATTCCGTGTTTAAGCATTTCTTTTAGAATTTTTGTATTTTAAAGTTATTTTTTAAAAAGTAAATTTTATCCATTCCTATATTATCATATTTTTCTTCCTTAACAGAAATAACAATTAATTACAGACATGGCCTTCCCCTGATAACCCTTACTCTGCCATCCAGAAAAGAGCGCTGTCGGTTTGTAGTGAAACCACTGTTGTCAACAGTCGGTTCATTCCTTCAGGACCTACGAAATGAGGATCAGGGCGTCAAGGCTGCGGCCATCCTCACAGCAGGTATATAGACATGCTTTCAACTGTGCCTGTGTCTCTTCTTCTCAACCTTTGTTTTGGTTCTTTACTTTTCTAGAAAGAAGTTGATTCTTCTTTAATTCATTATATAATAAATGGTTGGCCCTTACTGAGTCCTTCATTTTTATACATCAGTAATATAATAAAATTAACTCTGTTGAGTAAACAATTAATGAAATAAGTTTAATGCAAGTTTTGGTTACTTATTCTTAGCCACAAAATTTTTTCTCTGAGAAAATTTTAACATAGTCATTAGCATGTAATTTTCAGAAAAATTTGAATAATTAGAAAATGAAATGCAGTTTCAGTGATTAAAATAGCCAGTGAATAAATAAAATACACACATAGTTCATTAAACTTAGTTATAAAGCAATTACAGCCTAGTATGTTTTTTGACAGAATTAGTTCTCAGGAAGAATAGGTATATGTTTTTTAATACCAGCAGAGGTGGTTAATCATTTAGACATTTTAAATTTAGGATATAGCTGTTATGTCTTTATGGTCTGCAATGGTCTTAGACCTACTGCCCCTAAAAGAGAATAAGGACTTGTTCACCCCAGCCCAACATATGGAGGCTACAAATATAGATAAATGAATAAATCTGCACTATTTTATTGTAGTATTACATGCTTAGAATAAACTTATTCAAACGTTAGTGATTACTGTTGCTGTTTTGAAAAGGAAATAAACATTCTTCCCTGTCCAAGCTCAGAACCAATTAAGAGAAAGATATAGAAGTTGGAAAAATGGAGATTAAAGGATTTATTTACTCAACAAGTATTTCCCGAGCACCTAACATATGCCAGGCCCTGCTCTGGGTGCTGGAGGGAGATGAAGAACAGGATAAAAACTCCTGCTCCTGGGCCGGCCCCGTGGCTTAGCGGTTAAGTGTGCGCACTCCGCTACTGGCGGCCCGGGATTGAGTCCGGGCGCGCACCGACGCACCGCTTCTCCGGCCATGCTGAGGCCGAGTCCCACATACAGCAACTAGAAGGATGTGCAGCTATGACATACAACTATCTACTGGGGCTTTGGGGGAAAAATAAATAAATAAAATTAAAAAAAAACAAAAAACAAAAAAAACCTCCTGCTCCTGTGGAGCTTATGTGTAAGCGGAGAAAGGACTGAAGTATATCTCCTGTTAGATAGAAGCCTTAGGAGAACCGTAAAGCAGAGTGGGGAGGTGGGAGTGTGTGCGCTGCGGGGGGAGGTGCTCGCTAAGGTCGCGGTTGAAGGCAGACTTGGGAGAGTTCAGGGGGCTTTGTGGTTGGAGAAGAGTCTCCAGGCAGGGACCTGAGGTGGGAGCTGGCTGCACTGTAGCTGCCTGGGAGGGACTGGGCGGAGGGAGGAGGTAGGGGCAGACTGCGGAAAGCCTTGTTGTGGGTTGTTGTAAGGACTTGGGATTTAACTGGAGAGGGAGCTTTCTTCCTGGTGAAACCAGGATCAGAGAAGGTTTCAGGCCTATGGCCACAATGACCTAGTACTTCGTCCCTGAACTGGGCAGACATTCCCCCAGTCGCGGGAGCCCTGAACACCACGGCCCTCCCCACAGGCCCAGGGCCTGCCTTCCTAAGCTTCTGGGAGCCTCAGATGCAGACCCGGAGCTCTGAGGGCCCTGAGCGCAGTGTGTGCCTGGAAGTGTGTACTCAGTAAGCGTCTGTTGAATGAATGAAGTAAGAGAGGTTAACGCAAAGATTGACGTTTACCCTGCTTATTTCTATAAACAATGTGAGTAGCTTTGAAATGTAAAGCACAGAGAAAAAGACTAGAAGTCTTAGAGAAAAGGAGCTCTTTGGATGGAGGGAGTACACTTTATTGGGGTTTAAATCAATACTTGCCCAAGAATACGTGAAAAATTCAGCATGGTGTCAGCAGCTCCCTCCTGGTGTCTCACGTCAGGCTTTTGCTAATCGTGTGTTAGTATAAAGGAGAATGTGGTGCTTTAGTGGAGAAGTCACACTCAGCTGATTTCTCTTTATAGTAATATTTTAAGGAGCTGGTTTGAAGTCATTTAAATGTAAATTTTTAAATGACACTTGCAAAGTCAGATAAAACGATTGGTGTGTTGCTGATCTTTTTAAAAGAGGCTCTGTGGGCGGAATTTGCCTGCATTTAATTTGGGCTTGAAAAGAGTGTTCTAAGCTTGTCACAGTTTTGCCCGTGGTGTGGGTTGAATTATTTGGCAATTCCTGGGAAAATGATCTCGCCCCAGCTGATGAACAGGAACCCAAACAGCCAGAGTCTGGGAGCAGACCCAGGTGCAGACTTGATTGCTGCCTTCTGGAACAAAAGAACTACAGAGAGCCAGATGGGAGGCAGCAACCAGTTCTTCCTGCTTTTACTAGCAGTGTTCCTGTCATCACAAATATTAATGTAGTGGAAGTAGCGCTGGTCGAACGTGGCCAAGCAAATGCCAGGCCGGGGGAAAGTACACATCCTGGACTTTGTGTCACGTAATTACATGTGGGCTGTTCTGAGGGAATAATGATAAAACGAGACACCCCACCCAGCGCCAGTTTTTTGCTTATTGTTCATTGAGTTTGCCTTCTTAACACCTGGGTTACGTTAAAGTTTAGTTCAAAAATGTAACAACAAAAACTAGGCCAAATGAGAAGCTGTGCGAAGCACACGGAGGTTAAAATTTTCCAGATTTTTTTCTGAAATGTTCCTAGGATATTTGAAATTACTATTAGAATCTCTCCTACCTCTCTCCACCTCCACAAAATAAACCACACAAATGCAGATTTACTCCTTCGGCTTCATTATGTCATTACTGTCCCTGCCACCACCACCCCCTCAAATTTTGCCTCTTTTCCTCCTTCCCAAGCTAGAAAGGCAGGGAGGCCTGCGTGGTGGTGGTTTCTGGTGTTTGGCCACCAAGTTTTTAACTAATGCAAATCAGTAACCTTTAGTCATTAAAAATAAGAGAAAGGCAGGCTTTTAAAAATGTTACGACCTGTGTGCCTACACATACCCAGTCAGAGGCTTGGCTGTAAGCAGCAGAAGCGGACTCTGGTAAGCAGAGGAGTGTGTCAGCAGGCTCTGAGATTGGAATTGACACAAAGCCAGGCTCAGAAGGGGGCTGGAACCAAGGGAGGGCACGAGCGAAGACCAGGCTAGCCCAGGATTGGTCTGCTGCTGACACCCCCACCCTCCACCTCCACTTCTCTAGCTGTGCTGTGAGGAGATCTCCCCGCCCAGTCTTTGCATGACCCTCTGCAGACACAGTCTCATCAGGGACATGAGTCTGGATCCCAGTCCAGCTGACAGAGGGTGAGAGAGGGAGCGCCTGCCTGCTGGGCTTCGTCTAGTGTAATGGAAAGTAGAGCAGCAAGAGAGGCGTCCTCCCAGTGGGAATGGCCTTGGGTAGTGGGGAGCTCCCCAAAAGGCAAACAGCCACTACAGTCATGTACCGCATAACAATGTTTCGGTCAATGACAGACCGCATATACGACGGTGATCCCATGAGGTTAGTACCGTATGGCCTAGGTATGTAGTAGGCTGTACCACCTAGAATTGTGTAGGTACATTCTGCGATGTTCGCACAACAATCATGGTGCGTAACAATGCATGTATCAGAACATATCCCCATTGTTAAGCAACGCATGATTGTACTGTGTTGTAAAGACTTCGGTTAGTAGTATTTTTCTGTGTGTTGGAAAATTGTTCTTACTGTTCTAAAGCAAGGACATATTTCTGCATTATGTTTTCTCTTTCAGATGGCAGTGAGATTCCAGCTTCAACCTTGATGGAAATTCTGCTAATGAATGATTTTAAACTTGTCATTAATGAAATGACATACGATGTACAGTGCCCCAAGAAGGGTAAGAAAGACAGCTATGCAGCCATCTCAACATTCGCCTTTAGCTGTGGGACTTTCACAGGGAGCAGGCTTATCTTAAGAATCTTGTAAATTAACCAAATGACCAAGAAGGCTTTGGAGAACCAATGTCTAAGCTTTTCTATCAGGGCTATAAAGGATAAGGAGAAATTGCCTGGTAGAGCTTTTAGTTTCATATACTCTTCACTTTAGGATCTTGAATGCTTAATCTGACATTGTTGGGTTAAGAAGAGGTGGGCCTGAAAGTCATGAACTCAGGTGTACATTGTTGTACAGCTCTTAACTAGTTTTTTTAAAATAGACTTTATTTTTTAGAGCAGTTTTAGTTCACAGCAAGATTGAGCAGATAGTACAGAGTTCCCGTATGCTCCTGCCCGCCTCCAAGCCTCCTCCACTATCAAGCACCTGAGTGGTACATTTGTTACAATCCATAAACTTACATCAATACATTATTATCCCTCAAAGCCCGTAGTTTATGTTAGGGTTCACTCTTGGTGTTGTACATTTTATGAGTTTTGACCAATGTATAATGACATGTCTTCACCATTGTAGTATCACACAGAATAGTTTCACTGCTCTAAAAATCCTCTGTGCTCTGCCTATTCATCCCTTCTTCCTTGGTGAGGTGTGTGTCCAGGTTTTCGGCCCATTTTTTTAATTGGATTGTTTGTTTTAAGAGTTCTTTGTATACTTTAGTTAACAGTCCTTTATCAGATGTGTCTTTTGCAATTATTTTCTCCCAACCTGTGGCTTGTCTTCTCATTCTCTTGACAATATCTTTCACAGAGCAGAGATTTTTAATATTAATAAAGTCTAGCTTATCAGTTATTTCTTCCATGGATTGTGCCTTTGGTGTTGTATCTAAAAAGTCATCATTGTACCCAAGGTCATCTATGTTATCTTCTAGGAGTTTTATAGTTTTGCATTTTACACTTAAGTCCGTGATCCATTTTGAGTTAATTTTTGTGAAGCATGTAAGGCCTGGGTCTAGATTCATGTTTTTGCATGTGGCTGTCCAGTTCTTGCAGCATCATTTGTTGAAAAGGCTGTCTTTACTCCATTGTATTGCCTTTGCTCCTTTGTCAAAGATCAGTTGGCTGTATTTATGTGGGTCTATTTTTGGGCGCTCTGTTGTGTTTCATTGATCTATTTGTCTGTTCTCTCACCAATACCACACAGTCTTGACCCCTCTAGCTTTCTGTTAAGTCTTAAAGTTGGGTAGTGTCAATCTTCCAACTTTGTTCTTCTTTAATACTGAGTTGGCTATGTTGGGTCTTTTGACTCTCCATGTAAATTTTAGAATCAGTTTGTTGATATCCACAAAATAGCTTGCTGTGATCTTGATTGGAATTGTGTTGACTCCATAGAAGAAGTTGAGAAGAAGTGATATGTTGACAATATTGAGTGTTTTTATCCATGAACATGGAATATCTCTACATTTATTTAGTCTCCTTTGATATGATTCATCAGAGTTCCATAGTTTTCCTCATATAGATCTTGTACATATTTTGTTAGATTTATACCTAAGTCTTTCCACTTTTTGGGCTAATGTAAATGGTAGTGTGTTTCAATTTGTTCATTGCTGGTATGTAATAAAACAATTAACTTTCATGTATTAACCTTGTATCCTGCAACCTTGCTATAATCCCTTATTCTAGAGTTTTTTTGATTGATTCTTTCAGATGTCTACATAATCATGTCATCTGTGAACAAAGACAGTTTATTTCTTCCTTCATAATCCCTTTACCTTTTATTTCCTATTCTTGTCTTATTGCATTAGCTAGGACTTGCAGTATAATTTTGAAAAGAGTGGTGAGAGGCGACACCCTGCCTTTTCCCTGATTTTAGCAGGAAAGCTTCATGTTTCTCACTGTTAAATATTATGTTAGTTCTAGGTTTTTTTGTAGATGTTTTTATCAAGTTGAGGAAGTTCTCTTCTATTCCTAGTTTGATGAGAGTTTTCATCGTGAATGAATATTGGATTTTGTCAAATGCTTTTTTGCATCTATTGATATGATTTTTCTTTAGCCTCTTGATGTGATTGATTACATTAATTGATTTTTGAATATTGAGCCAATCTTGCATACCTGAGACAAATCCCACTTGGTCGTGGTGTATAAATTCTTTTTGTACATTGTTGGATTCGATTTGTTAACATTTTGTTGAGGATTTTTTCATCTGTGTTTATGAGAGATATTGGTCTATAATTTTCTTTTCTTGTAATGTCTTTGTTTGGTTTTGGTATTAGGGTAATGCTTGCTTCAAAGAATGAGTTAGGAAGTATTCCCTCTGCTTCTATCTTCTGGAAGAGATTGTTGAGAATGGGTATAATTTCTTCCTTAAATGTTTAGTAGAATTCACCAGTGAACCCATCTGGCCCTGGTGCTTTCTGTTTGGAAGGTTATTAATTATTGATTCAATGTCTTTAATAGACAATCTGCATAGGCCTTATCTGTTTTTTCTTGTGTGAGTTTTGGCAGATTGTGTCTTTCAAAGAATGCAATCCATTTCATCTAGGTTACCAAATTTGGAGGCACAGAGTTATTTATAGTATTCTTTTATTATCCTTTTAATCGATAGTGATGCCCTGCTTTCATTTCTGATATTGGTGATTTGTTTCTTCTCTTTTTTTCTTAACCTGGCTAGAGGCTTATCAATTTTGTTGCTGTTTTCAAAGAACCAGCTTTTGGTTTTATTGATTTTCTTTATTGATTTCCTGTTCTCAATTTCATTGATTTCTGCTCTCATTTTTATTACTTCTTTTCTTCTGCTTATTTTGAATTTAATTTGCTCTTTTTCTAGTTTTGTAAGATAGAAACTTGGATTATTGATTTTAGATGTTTCTTCCTTTCAAATATATCTGCATTCCATGCTATAAATTTCCTGTGAGCACTGCTTACACTGTATCCCACAAATTTTGGTAAGTTGTGTGTTTATTTTCATTTAGTTCAAAATATTAATTTCTCTTGAGATTTCTTCTTTGATCCATTTGTAATTTAGAAGTGTATTGTTTAATCTCCAAACATTTTGAGATTTTCCAGCTATCCTTTTGTTATTTACTAGTTTAATTTTTGTTATTTCTACTTTAATTCCATTGTGGTCTCAGAGCATACATTGAATGATTTCTATTCTTTTGCATTTGTTTGGGTGTGGTTTATGGCCCAAAATGCAGTGTAGCTTGGTGAATGTTCCATGTGAACCTGAGAAGAATGTGCAGTTTGCTGTTGTTGGAGGAAGTAGTCTATAGGTGTCAATTCTATCCAGTTGATTGATAGTGCTGTTGAATTCAACGTATCCTTACTGATTTGTTTGCTGGCTGGATCTCTCCGTTTTTGACAGAGGTGTTGAAGTTTCCAACTATAGTTGTAGATTCAATTCTCTCTCCTTGCAGTTCTGTCAGTTATACCTCTCATATTTTGACACTTTGTCATTAGGTGCATACAAACACATTAATGATTGATATGTCTTCTTGGAAAGTTTACTCTTTTATCATTATGTAATGCCCTTCTTGATCCATGATAACTTTCCTTGCTCTGCAGTATGCTCTGCTCTGTCTGAAATTAATATAGCTACTCTAGCTTTCTTTTGCTTAGTGTTATCTTGGTATTATCTTTTTCCATCCCTTTACTTTTAATCTATATGTGTCTTTATATTTAAAGAGAGTTTCTTGTAGACAACCTGTAGTTGGGTCTTGTTTTTTGATCCAGTCTGACAATCTCCATTTAATTGGTGTTTTTAGACCATTGTTATTTAAAAGTGACTATTGATATAGTTGGATTAATATCTATCATATTTGTTATGGTTTTCTATTTGTTGCCCTCGTTCTTTGTTCCTAGTTTTGTCTTTCACTTTTTCTTTGCCTTTTGTGGTTTTAATTGAGCATTTTATATGATTCCATTTTTTCTTCTTTCCTAGCATATTAGTAATATTTCTTTTATTTACTTTTTTACTTGTTGCCATAGCATTTGCAATATACATTTACAGCTAATCCAAGTTCACATTCAAATAACACTATATATATATTGTTTCATGGGCATGGCAAGTGTCTTATTATAACCAAGTATTCCTAATTCTTCCTTTCCATCCTCTATCATTCATTTCACTTACACCTAAGCCATAATCATTGAATACATTTTTGCTATTATTATTTTGAACAAACTGTACTGTTAGATCAATTAAGAATAAGAAAAAAAAGTTTTATTTTTGTCTTTACTTACTCCTTCTCTAATGTGGAAGTCCTTTCTTTTTATCAATCTGAGTTTCTGACCTATATCATTTTCCTTCTCTTAAGAACTTTTAACATTTCTTACAAGGCAGGTCTACTGGCAACAAATTCCCTCAATTTTTGTTTGTTTGAGAAAGTCTGTATTTCTCCTTCACTTTTGAAGGATAATTTTGTAGGATACAGAATTCTAGGTTGGTGTTTTTTTTTTCTCTCATCACCTTAAATATTTCACTCTACTCCCTTCTTGCTTGTATAGTTTCTGAGAAGTTGGATGTAATTTTTACCTTATAGATAAGGTGTTTTTTCCTCTGGCTATTTCAAGATTTTTTCTTTTTCTTTGATTTTCTGCAGTTTGAACATGATATGCCTAGGTGTAGGGTGTTTTCTGTCTTTTTTTTTTTTTTTTTTTTGCATTTATCATGCGTGATATTCTCTGAGCCTGGATCTGTTTGTAGTTCGGTGTCTGACATTAATTTGGGGAAATTCTTGGTCATTATTGCTTCAAATATCTCTTCTGTTCCTTTCTCTCTTTCTTCTCCTTCTGGTATTTCCACTGTGTGTATATTATGCCTTTTTAGTGTCCCACAGTTCTTGGATATTCTGTTGTTTTTTTTTTTCAGTGTTTTTTTCTCTTTTCAGCTTGAGAAATTTCTTTTGACATCCTCAAGCTCAGAGATTCTTTCCTCAGCCGTGTCCCATCCACTAATGAGCCCATCAAAGGCATGCTTCATTTCTGTTACAGTGTTTTTGATGTCTAG